CAAAGATTTATTGATATGAGTGAACAATTGTTTAAAACAGGTAGTCAATGTGCTGGAAAGAGAGCTTAAGTTTTATTCTTATACATTTTAAAATCTGTTCTTTTTCACTTCTTTTAAATCAGTATTATGGAATGCTAAGAGCGGGACTGAGGTAGGGATGGGGGTGGCAGGAGATACAGTCATACTTTGACCTAAATTACTACAGTATCTGAAATCAAGTTCTGCTATTTTTCCCTCCAGGCCATAAGACAAAAATGTTTTCAATGTTTTTCAGTACAATTATGTCCAATTATCGGAGACTGCTTAGACAAGTCACTGCAGTTTTCTTGGCAAACTTTTTCAGAAGTGTATTGCCATTGCCTCTTTCTTAGGGCTAAGAGAAGGTGACTGGCCTAAGGTCATCTGGATGGCTTTGTGCCTAAGGTGGAGCTAAGACTCACTGTCTCCAAGTTTCTAGCCTGATACCTTAACCACTACTTCAAAGTGATTCTATCTTTCTTATATAGCTAACATGAAACTGTGTACAGGGTTATATCTGCTATAGACTATCTTAGTTTCCTTTTCCTGAAGGGGATTGCCATCTGTGCCCTTTCTTTCAAGGTTATGCTATAATGAAATTAACTGCTTCTTGACCTTCTATTGTGTTGCAGAACAATCAGATATTAACAAGCTGGTTTCACTGAATTAGCTCTGAACATTTTTGTTTATTTTTTAAATGAGTGTCATTCAAAGCATCACATTGTCAATTAAATCATATTTTCCGGTTCCACACTATCAGTTTAGTAGGCGGATAATTTAGGCTTTAGGCAAGATGTTATTTTGTGTGAAAGAATTTAGAGCTCAAATTGCATTCCATCCTTCCTTATGCATATAGCATTCTTAGAATATTTTTGATTATGGAAAGATTATGCAGTTGGTTTTTTAAAAAACACAGTTAACGATCATAATGGACCTTTATTAAAATATTTGGATCTCTACTGAAATATTTGCACTCAAGAAATATCCTGAGTGCACAAAACTTTCAGGTTTTTGACAACATGGATAGCCAAACAAGCAGAAAAACAAACCAATCATCAAAAATGAGGAAGAGGATTAGGAATAAATATTAGCAGTGATGAAACCTTATCTGCATCAGCTACAGATGGAATGAGGAAGAATACAAATATACAAAATGGGTCTGTCAGGTGCAGAAATGATATTAAGTTTAACCCAAGTTTTTCCAAAAAATAAGGAAATGTATCTGAAGCTTTTTAACAATACTTTTTTTTAGTATTTGCATCATGCCCAGTGACCTACTTCACCCCCCTCTGATGGTTAAAGTTTGATGTACTGAATAAAGTGCTATCACCTGAGTTCACAGATCACACTAGAATGAAAACCAAACTTATGATTTAGCATAATATGTGAACCTGGTCAGTATGTAAATATATGTTTCTTGTTAATTTCTTCATTACATAATCTTTTCCATTGCAGAGATATAAATGATCACAGACAAATAACAGATCTCTATTTTTTCCTAAACATACACAAGCATCCTTAATGGTAGATGGCACATGGAGGCAAATAATGAAACATACATCAAGATGCACAAACTGAAATTTATATACTTGCTTTAGACTTGGACATACGTATGTATGAGCACTGTTAAGAAACCACTGCAAATGTCCTTATTTTTGCAATCTCAATCTGTTGTAGACATCTATGCCTATGTGGTTTCTGGGGTTGTGTTTACTTTGTACTGGGGAACTCTTTGGGGAAAATCAACTTTTTATCTCCTCCACTTTTCATTTGTGGATTTTTTTTTCACCTCCCAAGTTTTTGTAACTTCCTCCATCCTCTATCTCCCAATTTTTTAATCCGTGGCTTAAGGAAACAAAATGGTGATGAGAAACAAGCATGGCCCAAAGAAGAAAATACAAAACAAACAAGCAATTGTACTTTCACACCAGCAAAACATTATCTTCCAACAGATTTTCCAGCTGAGGTTGAATTATTTGGACCCCTTCAATTCTAAAACTTAGACTTAGGACAACTGAGCTGTTCTTCTTGCATTGTAAAATAATATGATGCTTTGAAAAGGTGTTTTTTATAACAAGCATAAATATGAAGTCATTTCAAATGGCAAGTTTCTGTGCTGAAATCTGCTTATATTGCAATACTGTTTACACAACATGCCAAACTCTGACTTTTAACCATGATTTACTAAATAAACCTCAAGAGTGAATTCTTTTAGCATTCTAAGTCTTAAAATTTGATTAACAAATCATAATGGCTAGGCTCACACAAAACAAAAACATTATATTGTATAATTTATTGATCTGGAGCCATATTCCCCAAAAATAGTATATGGGGCAAAGCAATAAATTAATTTCTATTCATTTCACTAAAATACTAATTATTACATTAGTTTAATTAATTATTTCAAAAATGTTTGTGTCGCAAATACAAACAACTGTAATATAGTAGCAATGGTTTACTATTGGTATATAAATGGTTGGATTCGCAGAATACACTAAACTAAAACCACACAAACCATTTTGGCTTAGTAGGGTAAGAATTCATTTGTTTTGTTAGCTTCTTAGCCTATAGAATGTCTGCAAACTTATTTTCCTGTGGAAAATATAGTGTTGATTTCTGATTCTAATAAGCAAACAAGAAAGTAAAATTGAAAAATGGTATTGTTCTGATATTCACAGAACAATGATTATTTAAGTCTGGTGTCTTGTGAAGAAATAAAACAAGGTGAAATGCTCCCCTTTTTTTAAAAAAAAATGAACAAAATTAGCCGGGTTATTGTAGCACTTTCCCCCACCTTTAGTTTGCCCAATCAAAATGTCAATATATTGTTTATTCTTCAATATTTCTATTTCTCCTTCAAGGAGCTATAAATGCGCTCTTAAGGTCAGTTGCGTATTTCAGTTTAGAGTTTCCTAGTCCCAATATGATTATTTTAATCCAGTTATTCAGTATGAGTTTTCTTCCCGAAGATTTTGACTTCAAATAGATCCATGGAGAGCAATCATTCTAAATCTAATCACAATGCTATTTCTTCTACACCTCTGGCAAGGAATACACCTATCTTAAATTGTTTAGACACAGATTTTGACTTTATAGTATTATACAGCAATAAATACCAGTTCTACATGGAGACTGGTTTGTTTTTGTTTATCACTGCCCATCTAACAGAACTCTGAAGAAACTATAACACACTAAAGTATTGTAGACTTTGGATACAACATTCACTATATTAGAATAAAAGAGTTGCGCAGATCCAGAGCAGCTTTCCTTCGTTGCCAAGTGTCCATTTAAGACTTCTGGAAACCACTTCTAACATGGGATATGTGAATTTGTCACCTTTAATATTTGAAATTAATTGAACACAATCAGCAATATTCTATTGCTGAAACACACCTATATAAACTAGAATCTGGATTGTAAATACTGAACACTTGTAAGGTTTTATTTATTTTAAAGCTGCAATCCGTTGTGAAGCTACCCAGTCTTTTCAGAGTAAAATGGACAGCATATATATATAAAGCTTGCTGTGAAATTGTTTATGGGATGAGGCTGCAATGCCCCTGCAGGTCAGGTGGGCCAGTGGATAATTCAGAACCATAATGCTCCAGACAGAAACTTTCCTCTAGACTTTCATGAAAATTAACCCCTTGTGACATTTTAATTCGCAAACTGTGGCATAATTTTTAAGAAAACACTTTGCCTGATGCATGTCCTCTTATCCTCAGCCTGCATAAGAGAAAACCTTTATTGTCATTGTTTACTGTGGGCACACGTTAAAAATGAAATTGCTTTCAAAAGTGTACACATATGCTATATACATACACATATGTATATACCTACACCCTTGCATATACATATAAATATTAATCATTGTCCATCTTGAATACATAGCGGAAAGAGGAAGCTTGAGAAGCAATTGGGAGCATGGGAGCAATTTGGGTCTGCGCTGCTCCACAATAAAATCTGGGGACGTCTCGAAGTTCTACTTCGTGAGTAACAAGCCGACCCCATGCCCAGCAGTTGCCGCCATAAAAACCACTGGATTTAGCCGCTTGGTGCTAAAGGAACCTGTCAATCTTGAGCTTGAGGGGAACCTCACTCCAAATACGCAACACTCGACGTGGAGAATAGGAATGCTACAAAGATCTATCATCTATATCCCGAAGTGATGCTACTTTACAGGTGGGCTTGCAGCTGCACTGTGTTGCAAAAGGCTGTCACGCATACCGCTTCTGGAACCATCTCAAAGCAACCACCTACAAGTAGATTCCTGCGATTCGCGGAAGAATTCCGGATGCTTTTCAGAAGTGCAACAAGAGGACCCGAGTCGAAGGAATAGCAGCAGCGGCCGACCAATAGGAGCGAGCCTTCGCCTTGTCCCACCCCCCTGTCTGCGAGCCTGGCCGGGCACGGCTAGTTCGCCGACTTTCTCTAACCGGTTTCCACCGGCTTTCTCCGCCTTTCCTTCGCCCCGCCCTCGCCTCGCGCCCCTCTATAGCATTCTTCTTGGGTCTTCTCCCCCTCCTCAGCTCCCCGCCCACTGCCACACGCCTGGCCATATCGGCTCAACTCGCCCGAGCCCTCCGATTGGTCGGGGGTGGTGCCATTCGGCGAAAGGCGTTTGTGACGCCAGGCCGCCGAGCTTTGAAGGCGTCAGCTGAGAGGGGCGGGGCGTCGCATGATTGCGCGCTGGAGAGTGCAAGGCGGTGCTTAAGACATCTCTGCCCGCCCCGTCCCCCTACTTGCCTTGCGCGAACGAACGGAAGCGCCCTCCCTCCGCCTCTGCCCCCCTCCCTCCTCCAGCCGCTTTTTCTTTCTGCCGTCAGTGCCGCGTTAGCAACAGCCTGGTCGCCAGCGGCCGGAGCTCCTCCTCTTTCGCCTTCTCCTGGCATCCCCCGTCTCGCTCGCTCTCCGGCTGCTCCGCGCCCTGTATGGTCCATCGCCGCCGCCCTGCTCCGGCACCACCTCCGCCGCCGCCTCCTCCTTCTCCAGTTCCCTCCGGCTTAGCTCCTCCTGCCCCCGGCGGTGGCGCCCTCAGCACCGAGGCTGTATGATCAGGCTACAGTCTTCAATGAGTAACCATATTCCTGTGAGTAGCGGCCTCTTCTTTCGGGTCTTAGCCAGCCCTGGGCTTCCGTCTCTCTCTCTTCCTCCCCTCCATGTTAGCCTGTTTGTTCGCTGGGTCTCCGCGCCAGCCGTTCCCAAGCGCGGGAGGGCGAGAGGGCAGGCAGACGAGCCCGACCCCGTCGGCTCTCCTTCCCGCCGTCCTGCCTTGTAAACTTCAGTGGTCGTTGGCCGGCCGTCCCTCCTCCCGTGTGGCTGCCCCGCCTGGTTCCCTTTTCCTTCCACTCCAGCGGCTCGGTCTGCGGGCCTGGCTGTAGTCGGAGATGTGGGACGTGGCAAGCGAGGAGACGAGGACGCCGGCGGGGGTAGCAGGGAGTGTCTGGGCGGGAGGAGACGCCGCTGTCTGGAGAAAGAATGGGCAGCCCCACCGCCAGGAAGGCTTGAGGAAAAAGCCCCAGGCAATGCCGGCCCTTAGGAACTGCTGCTGGGGAAGGGAGGGGGGGGGCTGGTTGTGTAGCTCTCCCACCCCACCCCCACATTCGCAGCTTGGGGGGGGGGGGAAGCGCCGCAACCGGGCCGAGCACGTGGTCACTACGAGAAGCGCTCCAGCCCTGCCCTGCATTTCGGACCTGGCCTTTCCTCTCTCCCTCCCTCCTTCCCTCCCTCCCCGGTTCCCCGACAGCGGCGAACAATGTAAGGAGGTAAGAACAAACCTGGTCTGAATGAAAGCACTCCTTCCCCCCCCACCCGAGTTTCGGATTCCTTTGTGTGCTCATTCGGAGCAGGAACTCGGCGCTTAAACCGGCTTGGAGCTGCTTTTAAGCGACAAAGCCGGAGGGGGAGAGATGTGGACTCGACCCGTACCAGTAATATGTGTGTGTGTGTGCTGGGAAGAGGGGTTTTTTTTCCCCAGACGTTTTTGATCAGCTTGAACGTGAATTAGGAGGCGGAGAAAAGAGAGAAGGGGGGAACAAAATGTCTCGTGGCTGCCTATTTGAAAAGCTTTGGGGGAGTGTGGAAGTTGGTAGCGGAGGGGGAATTCTGAGTTTGGTGCCCCCGAGAGTCGGGCTGCCTCTTGGGCTCTTGTCCTAATCCTACAGCCGACCCTGTCCTGGGTGGTCCCTGGGTCACTGTCCTTTTGTGCCGTTCACGTGGTGCTGGATAGCCTCGATCGCCTTTGGGCCCGGGTTGATGCGCTAAACCAGGGGTAGTCAACCTTGGCTCTTTTCCCAGAATTCCTGAGCCAGCGAAGCTGGCTCAGGAATTCTGGGAGTTGAAGTCCACGAGTCAGAAAAGAGCCAAGGTTGACTACTCCTGCGCTAAACGCTTTGGCCACGCGTGAGTGAAGAAAGGCTCCGGAGGGAAAGGGGGTGGGAGCAGAGTAATCTTCCACTTGGGAAACAAGTTGAGACTTGTTCGCGCCGTTGCCTGGCCGGCGGCCGCCCTGCTCGCCTGCCGCGTGTGGTAGAGAGCTTGAGGGCTATTGCGCTACCGCCGTGTGAGTCACCAAGCAGGGGCGGGAGGACCTTTGGCGGGCTGAGCCGGCGGCGTGGCCTCTTCCCCTTCACGCGCCTCCTGCCTGCAGATAACGGGTCGCTCCTTCCATTCATAAACTGCTGCCTGGCGCGCTAGCCTGCCTCGATAGCGGAAGGCAGCGGGGTGATGGAGGGGACGATAAGGACTTGGGCCACTTCTCCCCAAATCGATGGGATGTCAATCTGTTAAAATACAACCAAGTATCTAGGCCGCCTTACAAAATTCGATGAAATATGGGAGGAAAAAAGCAGTTTAAAACCTCCCCTCCTGCCTGTGATGGGGAACGACAGCTTTGTTTCCAAGGATTGTTAATCGCTTCAGCATTTTAATCTTGGCATATGGAATTAACTTCCTTTGGTGACACGTGAGAAACAGGAAAGGGCAGTGAGGTACTTTATTAACGTGTATTAAAGTAACAAGTATTACTGAGTCAGATTATTGTTATTTTCTTCCGGTAAGATGCAGGTCATAATAGGCTGTCGTTTAAAGGATATTTCAGTCTTCTCAAAATATTTTTTTTTCCTGGGTTGAGTTTGAACTGGGAGTTCAGATCTTCTACAATTCAAATGTTCAGCCACTTGACCTTAATTCAGGAGGCTATATCTAAGAATTGTAAAAGCCTTATGCTGATATTTCAATCTTTGTTGACATTTTATCACTTAGCAAAAGATTATAGCAATCCCATAATTAGTCTATAGGAATAAAGAATTAGCTGCAATCTAATTATTTCATAAGTTACAATATTTCTTAATGTTATATAGGTTGGCAATTCCAAATGTCCCTGACATGTAACTTGATTTCAGTGTTACCTACACTTTTAATAAGGGAGGAGATAACATACTTCATAACTGCAAAACTTTTGGCAGCAATATGTTGTTTTTAATCCTTGTTAGTCTGTTCTCTTCTTTTTTCCCCCTTAAATGTTTTGTATACTTTTCTGAAACTCTTGGGCCTATAGCTGTTCCTTATTTCTCTATGCTATTTTGAGCATTAATTAGGGACCCTTTCAGCCCTGTGGTATAATTATTATGCAGGCATCTTTCATGCAGATTGCTGCAGTATGTTTTGAAGTTTAGAGGCATACAGTATTACAATAGTATGCATCTGGAAAATGTTTATAGTATTTTTGCAGGGTTTGAGTTGGCTAAAAGAGCAGCTTATCTGAGACTTGACTACCTTGGAAACATGACACTAGCTTTCTACAGTGAATATGCTCTAAGTTTCAAACCAGTTGGTTGCTGTTCTCTAAAATAAATATGGGACTTATTCCTGGAGCAGGCTCCTCCTGTCAGATGCTGTGTAAGCATATGCAGTCTAATGAAGTTCAAATGAAATACGCCACTCGGCCTTTTATAAATGTAAGAGTACTGATGATGGTTAGAATATTTTGTAAAAACAACCAAAGCACAGAAACAGACTTAACCTGCTTGGTTTTTTAAAGAGGAAGTGGGTTGTGCAAATAATGATCATTCTGAAACTGTTGGAGCAACATGTTAAGTGAAAGGTTAAATTCGCACTGATTAAAGTAAGGTTCTGCATTTAGGCAAGAAAAACCAAATACACAGGTACAATATAGGTGCTACCTTGCTCACTAGTAGTAACTGTGAGAGGGATTTCGGAATCCTAGTGGACAATCTCTTAAATATGAGCCAGCAGTGTGCTGCAGCTGCCAAAAAAGCCAACACAGTGTTAGGCTGCATTATTAACAGGGATAGAATCAAGAACACGTGAAGTGTTAATATCACTTTATAATGCCTTGGTAAGACCACACTTCTGTTTCCCATCAACTTTATTTCATTTATATTCCACGTTTATTTATATAAATAAATTAAGATGGTGGACATGCCTAATAGTCCTTCATCTTCCCATAACAACAACCCTGTGAGGTCGGTTAGCATGAGAGAGTGACTGACCCAAAGTCACCCGGATGGTTTTCATACTTAAAGTGGGACTAGAACTCATGGTCTACAAATTTCTAGCCTAGTACCTTAACCACTAGATCAAACTGGCTTTATAGTCACTTTTATTATATTTTTATTGTAACAGAATGACAGCAGTTTGAAAGAGGAGTAGCACAAAGTCCCTTTTACATAACATTTGGAATGAGTTAGTGACTGGGCCAAAGTTGCTAGAAGAGCTTTATTCCAAAGCTTGGAAATTAAAACTACATCTTGCTCAAAAGTCTAGAACTGGGGAGCGCTCTGTACAAAAAGAATGAGACAGTCAATTACATTAGTAAAATGCTGGTCTGGTTTAAATATATCAACTTTAAATATATGCAATTCAAATACTTAAATTAAGAGATTTGTTTCCCTTCCAGAACATTCTAAGTTGTATATCTGAAACATGGTACCTTTGCTTATAGTCATTTTTAACTCTTTAGTCTGCAGTACCTCACTATCATTCAAATTGAAGATATTCTTACTGTACTTCTCACTTGTATTTGTGAGAGTAATATGTCAGCTGCCAATTTTTAATATAAATTTTAACATGAACTAATGTCCTTGAGTGTTTATCAAGGCTTCCTCCTAATAAATTTGATTTATAGTTTGACCTTATACTTTAGCTGCTTTTGACTGCTAAATTAATGAGTGAAACATCTTTATTACTTTGATTCTATGTGCACTGGCATCCCTAGTAAGCTAAAATGTGTACATTGTTATGTCATAATATTGCTGGGTTCTTTATCTTGCTTCCTCTGATGAATTTTTGAACTATCATTGAGTACTTAATGTAAGTCTTTTCAGAATACTTATAAATTTTGTTTTGTCTGAACATCCTGTTTGGCTCTATTTTCACACCTGTGTAAAAATTATTTTGCCTGACCTTTCATTTCAGCTTTTGATTTGCTTTGGATAGATTTAATTTTCTTGCTGAATAACATGCACATAAATCTACTTCCCTATTATTTAAGTCTATTTCTTGGAATTTGCTATTTATTGGTAGCTGTGAAGTCTTGTGAAAAAATAGTATTGTGGTAGTATGTTATTAGTACCTAAGATGATACAATAAAAATGTTCATAAATATGGAATGGTAAATCTTTATGTTGAAGCATTAATCTACAGGGTCTTTCAGCAAATAGGCTGCATCTACTTAGCATAGTCTATTAAATGGTACAGTAAAAAGTGACATTCTGTTCAGTTTGGAGCTGAGTTTGCATAAGAACTTGCTATGTTACTTTTAATGTCCCACATTAAATGAGAACCTAGGATCCCATTGTGATTATTAGTCTGTTTTCTAATTTAGAATGTTTGCTGCAATATGAAGAGATAAAGGAAAGTAGAACAAATGCTAGTAAACTCCATTTTTCCAACTCTGAAGGGCAATGCTGATCTTTAATGTACAAGCTTTGTTCTAGATGTATGCGATAAATTGTTCTCTTCTAGGTTGCTGGAAGCAAAACTGCTTTTGTGCACCAGAAATATTAAATTTAAATGATACTATTTTGAATATTGGCCAGTGAGGTTTGCCCCCTCCCCCCCAAAATCAGGAAACAGGATGAGTAAGAACTATTAGTTTGAATAGTTACTTCTATTACTCACCCAAAGTTTCAGTCTTGGTTAAAAGCAGGCCATGAACTATGCCTAACAGGTGCAATTTACTTTCCCAAGCAATTGGTGGACTGTAGGGGGCCTTTCAAAAGGACAGAACTGAATGTTCTTTATTATGGTTTAAGAGTGGGAATGTGAATTGTTCATTGTCCAAGGGTCTTGTGCCTCCATCTGCATCCTCTTTTCCTCATTTTTGGTTAGAAAACTCATGCTGCTGAAGTTCTGCCATTAAATGTTTACTGTGCAATCTTAATATACTCTAATATGGGACTGTGGAGGGAATTCTGGGATCTGTGGTTTGCTCATTACTGCCTTAAAGTATTATGTAGCTTATCTTATAACCTGCAATGTGATTGATACCTAATGAGATTGCGGGGCTATTTTGGTTAATTTGTTTGAAAATTCAGAGCACTTCTTAGTTGCATTTATATAACACTAAGATGCTTGGAAAGTGTATCCTTAGCCATTGACCACTGTTACTTTTTCTCTTTGCAGCAGTTCTGTGGTGTTCTCGGTCACACATTTATGGAGTTTCTGAAGGGCAGTGGAGACTACTGCCAGGCACAGCACGACCTTTATGCAGACAAGTGAACTGTAGAAATTGATTACTGCTCCACCAAGAAGCCCCCTTAAAGAGTGGTTACCACAATAAGCAGAAGTATTGGATTGAAATTGGCAGCGCATTTTACAAAGGAGTTCTGACCTGGATGGGGTAACCTCAGTGCACTGCCTTTCTTTTTTGCCTCAGTATTACAAGATTGAAGATTTGCTGCTTCTTGTTTAGGAGGTTCATTTCATTCCCTTTTCCTCCCAACTTCATATTTGTTGGCACTGGAAACTTTTAGTGGCTTTTTGTGAAGTAGATTTTAATTTCTCCGTTAATCAGTTAGGTTTTTTTTTTTTTAAAAAAAGAAACTGTCAGTCATTGCACATTTTAACTAAATTAAACCATGGCCCGAATGAACCGCCCAGCTCCTGTGGAAATCACCTACAAGAACATGAGATTCCTTATCACTCACAATCCAACCAATGCAACTTTAAACAAGTTCATAGAGGTAAATAGTGTCCAAATTGCTGATTTATTCTGTGGTTTTAACTTTTAAAATCATAGTGGTCTAGAAAATGTTTCCGTCCCTTAAATTGACATTAGTATCTTTCTGTTTGGTCAGATAAAAGATGGTTCAGACTTGTTTCTGAATGGTTATCCAGTGACTCATTCATAGGATGCACTTAAATACATTTAAACAAGGCCAGGCTGCATAAAGGCAGCTCAAGCTGCATGGAGTGTTATATTGTGATTTACTATAATAGCTAACATTGAGTTGGCATTCTGCAAAACAAATCATTAAGTATGATAAACTGTTAACTTCCTACCAAGTATAGTATTAAAACCATCAATATTAGCATAGTTGATACAGTTAAGACATGAATCTGATTTTCTTTCAGGAACTTAAGAAGTATGGAGTAACTACAATAGTAAGAGTATGTGAAGCCACTTATGACACTGCTCCATTAGAAAAAGAAGGCATTCAGGTTTTGGTGAGTAGCTTACTTGAACAGTTTGAGATACTACTAGCTTGTGAAATTTATTGTGGTCCTTGTTATTCAGCATACATTAAACCAGAGCATTAAAAATATTTGAATTAATATCTAATCTTACTGGGAATGGGAGGATATAATCTTAAAAAATAGCATGCAGCCTGAAAATAACACAAGCCTGGAATGAAAATAAGAGATTTCAGTCAGACAGTGTTGCTGTCAGGTATGCTATTCACAGTCACAAGTTAAAAAGTGAGGGGCTGCACCTTACCAATTACATGTGGCCATTCCATCAGGTCTGGTAGAAGAGTCTTATTGATCCCGTCTGTGGAATGGGATGATGGAACCCATATGATAGAGCCCAGGAGATGAGCTTTTTCTGCTGTGGCATCCACCTTGTACACCATCATCCCTCCTGAAGTCCCCATCTCTTTTGACCTTTCTGAAGTCCCTTAAAACTTGGTTGTGTCAAGAATCTGGGCCTAGGGAATCATAAGGGAATGGTAATTTGACTAGATGGCTCCATTGTTTATAATCTGATTATCTCTCTCAGGATTTTTTTCCCCCTTTCTAGCATTTTCCTTGCAAGTGCAGGGTTCATTTATTTTCCCAAATCAACCACGTGTTGGCCTATTCATTAGACAGAGGAATTGATCAACCAGCTTGTTGCTCAAAGCTGATGCTATGGGCTGAGAGAGAATGACTGGCCCAAAGTGACCCAGCTGGCTTTCATGCCTAAGGCAGGGCTAGAACACACAGTCTCCCGGTTTCTAGCCCTGGTGCCTTAGCCATTAGATCAAACTGGTTCTCTATCATGGTCTTTTATAACACTATATTTTTTATTTTAAAGTGTTTTATTGTTGTTTTGTATGCCACCCAAAGTCACATTGTCTGAGGTGGGTGGCCATATGAATATGAGCATTTTTAGGGTAGATCTTAAAAGACTTTATATATTGTGCCTTAAATATTAATACTTGTGTACTGGATGCATAAGAAAGAGTTAAACCCCTAAACAAGTGAGATGGAAATATCTGATATTGTGACTGAGCAGCACTAGCATAATAGAAATTTCTCTGAAGTGTGGATGTAAAGAGCATTATCATCTGACATAATTTAAATAATAATTTTTATTAGATTGTATCTGTGATTTTGAGAAATATGAGACCTAAAACAATTAATGCATACTTTCTAGGACTGGCCTTTTGATGATGGAGCACCACCATCTCTTCAGATTGTTGATGATTGGCTAAATCTTCTGAAAGTTAAATTTCGTGAAGAGCCTGGCTGTTGCATTGCTGTACACTGTGTTGCTGGTCTTGGAAGGTGAATTGAAATCTTGAAGTCATAAAAATATACTTTCGTATTATATCTATGATAATCATAAAGATTTGACTTGATAGTTCTGTACAACTAGAATTGCAAAAAAATGTCCTGTCCTTTTGATAGTTTTTATTAGCTAGTTTGACTTGGATTGAAATAGTCTGTGAATGATGCCCAAACAAAATTAATACATACTAGCATTTTCTAAATATATTAATTTAATCCATTAGTATTATGTGAGCTTAATTGCATTGGGATACACAAAAATAAGAGTTGGATTGTCTTAAATTTAATGAGATTCTGTTTAATAGCATATTAACCTTTCTCCAGTATGGGTCATTTTACAGTGCCCAGTTGGCCTGACTTGTGATCAGGAATGGTGTATTAAATAGTGTTTTAGGTATGTGTGGGCTATTCTGTGTCCATAACAGCAGTTTGGTGTAGTCCCTGATGATACAAAATAACATTAGGCATTTGCAGAAGTGGTTTTGGGAAGGGAGAGAAGAGAAAGGACAAAGAACAGTGGCAATGGTGGATGAGGGGAGGAACTGAATGAAAATGCTAGGGTATGTCTCTCTCTCTCCTTCCTATAGCAGCTTCCATACTGTGATAATTGACATTATTGAGGGAAGAAGGGAGCATTCTGCACCAGTTTGCTTTACTTACCCCAACTGAATTTTGTTTTATGCAAAATCCAAAACAGTTCTGACAATCTAAATATTGTTTCTGCCAAACTGTCTTAAACTGGGTC